GGGATTGTTGTGCCCAGAATATTATGCTTTATAGAACAATTCAAGCCTAGAATTTAACAGTGTTTTGCTCGATTAAAACGAGGCAGCAGAATTTTCTAGATAACTTTTACCTCATCTATACACATATCACTAAGTTTGTGTATATACTTGTCAGATTTTAGAAATCATTGAACAATAAACTTGCTCTGAATTTCTTAGTATACTTTCCACAGTTTCCGTGGTACTGTGATGGGCTTTGCTGTGGTAGCACAGAATATCAGACCTAGCATCCCAACACAGGGGAGGCTGAGGCAAAAGGTTAGCCTGAGATTTAGAGAGCAGCATGGTCTTAGCAAAAGAAAAACACTAACCAGTCAGCTAGCCAAACAAACAAAATGACAGAAGGAGATTTCTAAAATCTGACAAGTATATACACAAACTTAGTGATAGATTTTGTTAAAATGCATGTGTTAATGTGAATTCTGAATAAAGGGGGGCTATCGCAGACCTTCCCAAGGAGGTTTTATTAGAACTATATTGGAATAGAATAAATTTGCAAAAAACCCTTGATTATTTCAGACAAATAGAACTCTTTATTTATTTTACTAGTTAATTCACCAAGGATAACCAGCAGAATAGAATGACTGAAATCCTGTCATTTGTCAATTCCTCTCTTCTAGTTCTTTCACCGAGGAGTGTCTTCCCTCCTTATTTCCCTCCTCTGTGTAGAGAAGGGTGATGCTACTACACAGCCTGACGACTGGTCTTAGCATATTTAGAGTAAAAAGAATGCTTGCCTTTGAGTGGCACTAAAATGCCTTCAATCTGAATCTCAATTTGACACCAGCTAGAAAGAATTGATGTGTTTCTCCCATTTGTGCCCCTCTTAAAATAACATATGATTCTGAAGATGAAGTGTTGGGGGATATTTGACCTCATGTAAAACCCGAGACTGTGTTAACAAAATCAACCTTGGATCTGGTGACAGAGCCAGCAACTAGTTGACAGGAATTAGCCATAAAGAGTATGGAAAAGCCAGGAAGACAGATAGAGAGAAACAGGAAGGAGTAGGGAGGGACAGGTTGTTACATGGTCTTTTTGGTTTGGGATGGCTGGAGAGATGCTCTCTTGCTGGGTCTATGGCCAAAATAGGAAGGTCAGATGCTTGCTTCTTGGCCCCTATGATCATGTAGTCATTTCTCCCAGTTTGTGTATTATTGGTTGCAAAAGGAAAGTAGCTCACAATATTCTGTGTTTTTTATTATTATTATTATTTTGTTATTTTGATCCAGGGTCTTGCTATGTAGCTACCCAAGCTAGGTTTGAACACTATCCTCCTCCTCACCCCCCTCCATGCTAGGATGCACATCACACTTGGTCTCTACGAGCCTCTTGATATGAAAAATGCAAATCCCAACTGCAGATCCATTTTACTTTACATGCTAACCCTAAAGTCCACAGCACCCCTTCCAGATGCAACAAGTGAAAAAGATGCCTCTGATCTCCCATGACAACAATAAGCTGTGGAACTACACAAACCTTTATAAAATCAGTATGCCTCTCGTGTATGAAAAGTGCTATCCAATGGCGATTTCTGAGATGGAATGTTCCATGTCTGTTTCTGTCCAGTAGGGTAGCCTCTAGCCACGGGTAGCTACTTAGTCTTTCCATTATGGTTTGTTGTGGCTAAAATGTATTCAACAACCACATGCACTGGATTAGTGCGGACTGGTAGACCCTTCAAACATGCTGACAGATATTAGACATACGAGCCCATTATGGAGAATCCAAGAGCCTTCACATAGCAGCACTGTGTTTAAAGAACCTGTCATTCCCTCAGCATGGACTTTTTCAAAATTTCACATTTTCAGAAAACACACACACATACACACACACACACAACCAACCAGTCTTTAGGTTCCTTTTCTGTATGATTCATCGCTTTGCAAAAAAGTGTAAGACTGGTTTTTTTTTTTTCTTTCCAACTCTGCCTCCTCCTCTACAGACAGAATCCAGTGATTAGATGCTCCATTTATTTAGGCTATTCTCTCAAAAAACCTGGTTTCCATGCTGCAAATAAATGACAGAAAACTTTTCTACTAGATTATCCCAGACAGCACAAATGTTCTTTCCCAAAGTGGAGACTGGAACCACAGCCCCCTCACACTGCCAGTTACATCTGTTCATGCTTATAGAGGTGGCATCCACTTCACAGACAGGGAATGCCACATTCTTGGTAAGGACAGAGAATATGGCGATGCTTAAAAAGGAAAGAGAACTGTCTGGCTGTGATTCAGACCTATAGAATTAAGTAGCTGCAGAGGTTTTGACTTCCGCAGCACAGATTCTTGTTGTGCACTTCTAGGCCATGTGATTGTGAATGCAACACACGGCATAACCTCCATTTTCCTGTCTGAGGTGTGCAGCGATGCTTCAGGCTGGAGAGATGGCTCAGCGGTTAAGTGCCTATATTGTTCTTCCGCAGGACCAGAGTTCGGTTCCCAGCACCCACACCAGGTGGCTCACAACTGTCTGTAACCCCAGTTCCAAGAAATCTGATCCACTTCTGGCTTCCATGGACATCCGCACTCGACACATAAACACATACTCATAAATAAATATTATAAAGATGTAATTATACTTTATTAGAAAAAATTTGTCTTAATTAACTGCTCCAGTATATTGTTTTATTTCTCTGTTTTTTTTTAATTGCTAATTTACCGTGGCTTACTTACAAATTAAACTTCATGGTTAGGTATGGCAGAATAAGCACACACACATATATGTGGTCCAGTACTATTTTTATTTAATAAACTGGGGGTGGGGTGAGGCTTACAATGTATTCTTGAAGACAATTCTAAGGTAAGATAGAAAGATGGGGAAAATTACTGGAACATGGAGGGGAAAGAAACCATTCATCTGAGAGCTAATGCCCCTTGCTAGGTGAGAGGCAAGACGTCCAAGCAGAATTAGTGACATTTGCTGGGAAAGTTACAGATAAACACATACCTTCACACACAATCCTATGTTAAAGTAGTTATGAAACAGAGCTATGAAACAGGCTTAAAGCTAGACCCCATGTGACCTCGGGAGGGCCGCAGCCCATTTTTCAGACATTTCCTAGGGGCCTCAAGCAAGATTATTAATCACGTTTACAGGAAAAAAAGCTTATCTTCCCAAATTCAAGAGACCTAGAGTCTACTGTATCAACTGAAACTTGGAGGGCACCTCTGGTGGCCCTTAGACGACAGTAATTTCAACACTTCTATGAGTGGTACGTATCAGAAGTGGTACGCATTGGTACATGCTGGCGGACAGAGAGACACTCTGAGGAGCCCACATCTGTGCTCTGGTTGAGCCTTCACACTGCCCTCAGCGCTCTCTCCACTCATCCTGTGCTTAAAGATCTATTCTAAAACGTCCTTTAACAAGCCCCGGCCTGCTCCGCACCAGGTAATAGGAAATAGGGCAGCCCGAAGGGCAGCAGCGCCAAGTCACGCCCCTGTCCCTCGGCATGGCTACCAGTACCGCAGAAATTGTATTGAGAGGGTGGCTCCATTTTGCTGTTTTTTTTTTTTTTCCTACACACACATATATTTTCAAACTGTTTTTACTCCCGCCCCCAAGCCAGACATTTCTCTTCGTGTCCCTGGCTGTACTTGAACTCACTCGGTAGCCCAGGCTGGCCTTGAATTCCTAGATCGCCCTGCCTCTGCCTCCTGAGTGTGAGTGCTGGGATTAAAGGTCAGCCACTCAGCCGCTACAGGTCTGCTGCTGTTTTTCATCTCCAGACAACGGCTGGAGTTTTAATTCAGGTTATTCTCAAACTCAATTCTCCTGCCTGTGTTGGGATCCTACGTGCACCTCACACGTCTGTGGCAAGACACCTGATCTTGTCTTTTCAAAAGTTGTATTTCTGCCCCATAGAACTTTTGGATGGGATCTAGGTTGACCATCTAGGTCCTTTTAGCATATGGGAGAAAAGTATGTAACATTGTGCATGTTTGGGAGGAGAGGGTGTGTTGAGAGTTTATTAAAGGGCAAACCTAGGGAGTGTGAACTGGAAAGCTATACAAGGAGACAGCCCAAAGTCCTCTCCATCCCCTTCCTTCTAGCACTGGGGCCTTGAGGTCCAGCCCGGTCCTCTCTGTGGAGGCCACACTAGAGTTGGTCTTGGCCTTCTAGGCCAGTCCAGGCCATTTCCAGGCCTCCAAGGCCTGGGGTCACCTCGTGGGTTCCGCACCATCAGGCAGTCCAAGCCCAGCCCGGGAACCCACATCTGCCAGACCCCAGAGGTGCAGGCCTTGCCCTGAGCCCGGAGCCCCCTCACCCACGGTCTTGGGGGTGGGGCGGCCTTGCCTCGGGCCGGTGCTTTTAGCCCTCCGTTGGCCGCCAGAGGCTCCCTCTCTCCCTCTCGTGGGAATTCGCTGCTGGGCTCCCTCTCTCTGCGGCCCTAGAGTTAATCCCATCAGCCGAGGTGAGGCACCTGTTACCCCGGGCCTTCCTCATCCCCCGAGGCTGCCCCCCCACTCCACCGGGCCTAGCGGGCCTCGGGGCCCGGCGTGGGGAGCCCCCGCACGTGGGCCGAGCGGCGTCCCAGCCCCAGGCCGCAGCCGAGGGTGCCAGCGTCGGGGCCCCAGGCCGGGCCGCCATGGCGGGGGGGGCGGGGAGGGGAGCGCAGCGCGCGTCCCGGGGCCGCCCCGCGCGGGCAGGACGCGCGTGGGGGCCGAGGCGCGAGTGCAGGCGGCCGCGGCGCGCAGCGCGCCGTGACGAGCGGGTGGAGGGCACACGGTCGGCGCCGAGCCCGCACGGCCACGGGGGGCGGGGGCCGCCGGAGGAGTCCGACCTCCCGCCCGGCCGGGCCGCTCGGTAAGGGGGCGGCGTGCGGGTGGCGGGCGGCGGCGGGCGCGCGGGGACGCGGCGGCGTGCACAAAGGCGGACCCGCGGGCGGTGGGGGTGGGCTGCGGTCGGGAGCGCCGGGGTGAGGGGCCGAGGCTTTATCCGTGGGATCTATTGTTTCCCGGCACACTGGGAGGCAAAAGGGAGGCGTTTGTCACCATCACCCTCGCCTTTGCTCTCTCTGCTGACGGTGGCCCGGGAGCTGGGCTCTTCCCGGTGCCACACACCGGGATCCGCCTGGCAGCCTCCGGGAGCCGCAGCCAATGTGTTAGGACTTCAGGTGCTTCCTGGCACCGAGCTAGACTGCGACCTCCTAGGCTCGGCGTCACCTGCTCTCCCGGCCCTGCCCCGGGGCCGAGGGAGGGATTGCGTCCCGAACCGGGCTCGGGAATCGGCTGCCTCTCAAGTTGGTGTTATTTATGTTTGTCTTTTTGTGAGGGCAGGGTTTTGAATCCCCGGCGGCCCTTTCGCCCCCGCCTCCGCCCCCTCGGGCTCGAAGGGGCGGGGGAGGGAACGGCGTGTGCAAGTAGGGGAGAGGGGAGGGTGTTTATGGGTAAAAGGATATTGTCAACGCTATTCAAAAAAAGAAATAAAGGGAAAAAAAGAAAAACCAAAACCCAAACCAACAACAACAACAATCAAAAAACCCCAAACCACAGGCACCACTCTCAGAAAGCCTTTCTTGTTTGCCTGCATGGGCCATGCATGCTTGCTGGGCCAGGAAATGAGTTTGGAGCTGATTTATGTGAAAGTGTGGGCTTCCTCTGCCTCTGGTGCATGAGGATGATGTGGTTTGGTCTAATATTAAACCAAAACAAGCCAAACCAAAATGAAAAAAAAAAAAAAAGAATATTTAGAGCTGCATTGAGCGCCTGAAGTGTGGGCACATTGATAGAAAACCCAGCCGTGGGCTGGGGAACAGCAAGCTTGCATGGCTTTCGCGCTTTTGTTTTTTGTTTTCTCTCCCTCAGCTTGTAGAAAGTTAGGGGCCAGGAAGAATAGAAGAATCAGGATTGTGGAAGGAAGTGTCATGGTAGACCGGCTTTCTGGCTGTGACATTCTCCTGCATCCATTCCTACTAGACTCTGAATCCCACTCTAATTAGTGATAGCCTCGTGGCCAGGAAACTTACAGTGGAACTTAACTGACATTCCAGAACTTACTTCTGTCCGTTTCGTCCCGGATTTGCACTGAAATTGTTACTTTGGTCATTCTGTGCAAGAGAATATTGGATCAGAACCACCAGATAAGCCTCCTGGGCCTGTTTTAGAGTTTGGAAACAGACGCCAGACTTTTCCCGGTTCTGCACGACTCTGGAAAATTCCCAGATGGGATGGCCATTTGGATGACTTTTTGAGGCGTTCTTTCATAGTCATTCACAGAAATATCCAGACTTAGGCGAAAGCATTACTGTCAAGTAGGGGGGTGGGGTAGGGTGCAGGTGGAGGGGAGTGGGGAGAAAGAGGAGGTGGAGGTTTTGTAAAGACTCCAAGTTATGTTTGAAACACTTTTGTTACCAAAGACCAATCAGAATAACTTTTTAGCTTCTTGACCTTAATGACCCCTTTTGAAGTAATGGATTTGCTGTGTGACTAAACCACTTGGAACATAAAGTGTGTGCTAAATGTTGATTAGTTGACTAGACGGAAATTCAGATGAATTCAGAAACTCATCCTTTTCTATTTCAGGTGACCCTCTAGCCTTGCTTTGAAAAAGCCATTTTTGTGTAACTCTTGCCTGTGAATGAATTGCTAACACACCCGTTGGGATCACGACTGGAAAAGCATGTCACTCCAGAGGTCTTTTGCTTGACCCAGTACCCGGCATTAGAAAGAGACGTGTTTTTCTCTCTTGTTGTTCCCCCCATCATTATGAGCATTGGCTTTTCACCCTTGAAGTAAAAATGTTGAAAGCCGAGTCTTCAGGTGAACGAAGCACTCTCAGAAGTGCTTCTCCTCACAGAAACGCATACAGAACAGAGTTCCAGGCACTGAAGAGTACTTTTGACAAACCCAAGTCCGATGGGGAGCAGAAGACAAGAGAGGGTGAGGGCTCCCAGCAGAGCAGGGGTAGGAAATATGGCTCCAATGTCAACAGGATTAAAAATCTATTTATGCAGATGGGTATGGAACCCAACGAGAATGCTGCTGTCGTTGCCAAAACCAGGGGCAAAGGTAGGCCTACATCCCCTCAGAGAAGAATGAAGCCCAAAGAGTTCGTGGAGAAAACAGATGGCTCAGTGGTTAAGTTGGAGTCCTCTGTTTCCGAACGAATTAGTAGATTTGACACAATGCATGATGGCCCTTCATACGCTAAGTTCACAGAGACGCGGAAAATGTTTGAGAGAAGTGTGCATGAATCAGGGCACAATAATCGCTACTCCCCAAAGAAAGAGAAAGCCGGAGGCACTGAAGCACTGGATGAGTGGGGGGTTTCCAAGTCCAACCGAGGCAGCAGCGATTCCTTGGACAGCCTGAGCCCCCGCACTGAAGCGGTGTCCCCGACAGTGAGCCAGCTGAGTGCGGTGTTCGAGAGCACCGAGTCTCCGAGTGCCGTGGCTTCTGAGAAGACTGAGAGCAGTGAGTACTCAGTGACTGGACATTACCCTCTGACTCTGCCATCTGTTACCATTACCAATCTTGATACCTTCGGCCACCTCAAGGATTCTAATTCAAGTTCTTCTTCAAGCAAGCAAGGTGTGGAGACCGAGGATCCTCAGAAAACCCCTGCAACTGCAGAAGTGGCTCGGAAAGCCGCCTCTCTAGCTTCACTGCCTAGTGAGGAGACAGAGCTGAGCAAGGGAGCCGACGACGTCACCTCTCCCCAGGAGACTCTGGACAGCACCGACACAGATATCCCCGAGGAACCCTCTGCTGAAAACCAGGCGATGCCAAAGTCGGATCACCTCCCAGCACAGAGCGAAGCCTCAGAAGATGCTGAGGCTGATGTGGTTGGGAGTGAGGCAGCACAGCCACAGAAGAGAGACCTGGCAGCAGGGGATGTCACCTCGCCGGATGCTTCTGCATCCAGCTGTGGAAGAGAAGTGCTTGAAGACTCGAGTAATTATGAGAGTTCCCATGTGTACATGCAGAGCGACTATAACGTGTATAGGGTGAGATCCAGGTACAACTCGGACTGGGGGGAGACGGGCACCGAGCAGGACGAGGAGGACGACAGCGATGAGAACAATGATTACCAGCCCGACATGGAGTACTCGGAGATCGTCGGGTTGCCGGAAGAGGAAGAAATCCCAGCAAATAGGAAAATTAAGTTTAGTTGTGCTCCGATTAAGGTATGTTTTTTTTTTTTTCAGATTGTTTCCTAAGTCCCCTTTCAGCATGGTGGCCTGTGCAGGATAGATTTGACAAGTACTAGATTTTGTAAGACATTTGAGTTTGTGGGTATGCGCCTGTTGTCCGGTGATTTCAGAAGTGAGACGTTGGGGAGGTATCAGGTTGACTGAAGTGATGTATGGTGGCATAAACCCCCAGGGAGACATAAGCAAGGTGAAGAAGTTTGTGAGACACATCGCAGTGGAGTGGAGTCCGAGCAGCCGGAACGCTGAAACGAGGAGGTTTTGAAATACAGCTACTTCTGCAAGGGGCTCTTTAAGATGACCCGTGAGTAATCACGCTCTGACTCTACATTATAAGATGCAGGGTATAAGGTGCACCGGGGGTTTATGCTAACCTTGACATCATTTTCTTTATTTTCTTGCTTTAATGAACTACTCCTTAGTTCAGTGAAAGTGGATGGTGTTTCTGAACTTGTAGTTTTTCTTTTTGTACTGCTACTTGGTTGTGGACATTTGCTTTATGGAGCTATGTTAGCTGGTAAATACTTTGCAAAGCCGTGGCTATATACAACTTCGATGTCAGGAATTGCTATGTAGCTTTGCACTGACATTGCGAGAGAGGAAGCATAGTTGACTTTCCACTCATGGATTGATCTCACCTCTTACAAACTGGAATATGCCAACTGAATTCAGATGTTTTATTTTAGTGACTTCACTTAGCTAACATTTGGTAGAGAAGAAGAGCAAAGAGTGTCTCAGGAGCGGGTGGCGTGATGCTCTTAGTGGAAGATGGCACTAAGGGCAGGGGGCTGTGGGTTGAGTTTCAGAGTCTCCTGGAGTGCTTTTCCAAGCACTTGCCCACCAGCTCTGTCCTCTGATTCTGGCATCATCTTGTGGGGAGCCTGGGGAGGTCTGGTTCACGTGTGTTGTTTGATGCCATCTTCTCGGGGCATGCTGCTGGTATATGTGCTGTATAGATGATAGATTTGGAATGTGATGCTACTTCTTTGTCCATTTGCTTATTAAACACTAAAGTTCCTTTTTTTTCCCCGTCCCATGAACTTGCATTTGAAGCTGTAAGAACTTCCGTGGAAATGCCCACAGAAATGCCTGCCTCTGCTGTGATCAGCAAGTAATATTTTGAAATAAAGTAATATTCTATGAAGTTCTGTATAGATGTTAATAAGTCAGAGTATTTCTTATTGGTATAAAGTGACATTTTGGGTCAGAATGACCATATGCAGTTCATCTATGTTTAAAATGAACCAAGATATGGATTTAGTTTGAGAATAAGCTGTCTTTTTGTATGTGTTGATACTTTCTTATATCTCTGCTCAATTGTCAATGGCATTATTCCCACTTTTAGGCACCCTCTTTAAAGGTATCCGTTCCCAAGCCTGTCCAGCAAGCCCCCAGATTCCACTATTTAGGGTTCTTTGAGCATGTTCTTCCTTCCTCCTAGAAAGGCATCAGTACAGGTTAAACCATCCTAAACTAAACAAGAGGTGTCAGTACAGGTTAGACCATCCTAAACTGAACAAGAGGGATCAGTACAGGTTAGACTGCCCTAAACTGAACAAGAGGGGTCAATACAGGTTAGACTGTCCTAAACTAAACAAGGTGTCAGTACAGGTTAGACCATCCTAAATTGAACAAAAGGGGTTAGTACAGGTTAGACCATCCTAAATTGAACAAGAGGGGTTAGTACAGGTTAGACCATCCTAAACTAAACAAGAGGGGTCAGTACAGGTTAGACCATTCTAAATTGAACAAGAGGGGGTCAGTACAGGTTAGACCATCCTAAACTGAACAAAGAGGGGTCAGCACAGGTTAGACCGTCCTAAACTGAACAAAGAGGGGTCAGCACAGGTTAGACCGTCCTAAACTGAACAAGAGATGCATAGCTGAAATAACTCGCCACTCACTGCTTAAAGCAGGGGAATAGGAAATTATGAACATTTGTCATCTAAAGTGTTAGCCCCTGAGCCTCCTGGGACACCAGCCTTGTATTTGGGTCCTCTAGCGCACAGGACATAACTGCGTAGTAGTTCCTGTGATGGATGTTACAGAATCTGTCATTGAAGTATGTTTTCATATGTGAAGTATGAAAAATTTTAAATTCAGACTTTCTGATTTCTGTTGCTTATAGTAAAAAGTGTGTTGCTTCTTTACCCAAACTGGGTATGTAGAGAAAAGAAAGAGACTACGTGTATTTAGCCCATTTCAGAAAGAACTTGGGTCTTGGTAAGATTTGAGTACCCGAGGCCATTTGGCTTTCGTTGGGCAGTTAAAGGGACAAGTTGGAGTGAATTGAGTTTGTAAGCAGAAGCGCCATCCTTATCTCCTCTGTAATGAATAGGAGAGTTACTCTTTCTTGTTGCTTCCCTTGTTTAACAGGAAAGTGGATACACCTGGACATTTGAAAACGGCTTTCCACTGAGGGTGGAGTTTGTTCACTCTCCATTTAAGTGTTTTTTTCTTTTTTTTTCTTTTTTTTTTTTTTATTTTATTGAGAATAAGAAAAAAAAAGTTTCCGCCTCCTCCCAGCCTCCCATTTCCCTCCACCTCCCCCCCCTCTTCTCCCCCTCCCCCGCTCCTCTNCCAAAAGACACCTAAGGTCATGCTCAACCTCATTAGCAATCAGGGAAATGCAAATCAAAACAACTTTGAGATATCATCTCACACCTGTCAGAATGGCTAAAATCAAAAGCACCGATGATAGCCTTTGCTGGAGAGGCTGTGGAGGAAGGGGTACCCTCATCCATTGCTGGTGGGAATGCAATCTTGTGCAACCACTTTGGAAATCAGTGTTTCGGTTTCTCAGGAAATTCGGGATCAACCTACCCCTGGACCCAGCAATACCACTCTTGGGAATATACCCAAGAGATGCCCTATCATATGACAAAAGCATTTGTTCAACTATGTTCATAGCAGCATTATTTGTAATAGCCAGAACCTGGAAACAACCTAGATGCCCTTCAATGGAAGAATGGATGAAGAAAGTGTGGAATATATACACATTAGAGTATTATGCTGCGGTAAAAAACAATGACTTCTCGAATTTTGCATGCAAATGGATGGAAATAGAAAACACTATCCTGAGCGAGGTAACCCAGACCCAAAAAGATGAACATGGGATGTTTTTTCTTTTTTTGCTTCAGAGGGAGGTAATTTAAAAACTGAACTCAACAAGTACGTTCGTAGGTTCATCACGTGTGCTTGTCATGATGCTAGCTGCAGAGGCCACCCACTTCTGTAAGAGTTGCCCTTCTGTGACCTCGTAGTCAGTTCTTGCATATATTTTATTTAAATAAACTCAGGTTAAACAGAGTAACAACTGTGCCCAAATGTCTGTGTCTTTTGAGCCCTTGATAGTTAGTTCTTGGCTTACTTGTGTTGTGACAAAGATAAAATACGTTATTTGAAACAGAATACATTTACCCATTCATTGTGTTTGCTTATCTTCCTAAAGCTTTATGTAGGTAGTAGAAAGATAAGATTAAAGCCTTTTTCTTTGATATTTAAACACTCTATCTTTAAGAAGCATTAGAGAGCATATTCTTTACAGAAATAATGTTTGAAAGTTTTATATTCTAGATAATCTTTTTCTTTACTAGGCAAAAACATTCCCAACATCTTTAGTCATCATTAGTCTTGTGTATGAGCTTTGTGGGTGTGATACTGTTTCTAATGTTTGGTTCAATTTCTTATAGAAATTTTGAATAAATATTACCTTGAGATGTTTTAAATCTGAACCCAGAAAAAAAAAAACCAACCAAACAAATAATACTTGATCTTTACACCATATTCCTTGTATTCAATGGTCACATTACTGAGATGTGGCACATGCCTGTAATCTTAGGACTGGGAAGGCTGGAGCAGCAGCATTGAAAGTTCAAGGCCATCGTGGGATGCAAAGTAAGAAACTGTTTCAATATCTTCCCCTCATCCAAAAGATCTGATTGTATTTGCTGGCTAACAGTTGATTTCCCCATCTTTCACAGACACAATTGTGACTAATTGTATAGGCTGATGTGTTTAATAGGGAGGGTCATGGAACTTCAGAATAGGATTATTAATAGAAAGTACAAACCTTACCTTGAAGGGGGTGGGAGAATGTTATGACCATTTTCATTTGAGGTATAGAATGATGTTTTAGTTTTCAGAAACTTCTCAAAACTAAGGAATTTAATTAAATATGCTATATATCAATAAAGATATACAGCATATTTAAAGCAACAAAAGAAGCTTATGTCACTAATTTTTTTCTGTCATTTTAGAACATTTCCTGAGCCTCTAGGATGTATCAGGAAGATTATGAATACAATCCATGAGAGCATTTGTCTAGGAAAGGAATGGGTGGGAGGTGGGCATCCCATTAAACAAGGCTTTTCTGTCTCATCTGCTGTGTGATGACCTTACAAAGGTCATCACAGCCTCATTAAGGAACTCATAAATAACCCTCGCTTGTTACTAGAAGCCATAATATTCTTTAGCTTTGTATTCTTGAAATGGCGTCCCCTAAAAGAGGAGATTTTTTGAACTCCCAGCAAGTATGTGATTGCAGAATTAATGTTCCGGAGCTTTTGTGATACTTGCTTGGAGCGTTTCTCAAACTGTGTTGCACTTTAGCGATCCTGGGTTTTGAAGGACAGGCGAGGGGAGAGGAGCCTTTATCACTGATACAGGAGCCTTGGAAGCTGGTTCTCAGTGTATTCGCTGCCTCATGGGGGCTCAGAGTCTCTGTCCTGGGCATAGAATGCTTTTTGCTCAGTAGTAATGTTTAAAGCAGAGTTCTGAGACCCAACTTTTTGTGTCTGTGGAAGCTTTCAGCAGTGCTTCTTAAACTGTAACATGCATATGAATCACTTGGAGATCTTGTTAAAATGCAGATTCTGTTTCTGTAGGTGTTCCCTGAGAAATTACCTTGATGCAATGATTTGATCCTGAGTACAGTGCTGAACCATTGCAGAGGTAGTGCATCAGAAGCAGACAGC